TAGCCGTACATTTACAATGTGATACATATAAAACAAACCATACAATTATTATTATTATTTTTTTTAACTTTGTTTATTTGGTTTTTAACAAGAATTGCATAGCCGTACATTTACAATGTGATACATATAAAACAAACCATAGAATTGTTTTTTTTCAAGCTTTGTTTATTTGTTTTTAAACAAGAATTGCATAGCTGTACATTTACAATGTGATACAAATAAAACAAACCATACAATTCCCTTGAGTTATAAAAACAAAACAAAAAACACAACAAAACGACCTCTTATCACTCCCAGGCAATAAGAAAAAGTCATAAGAAAAAGGACACACACACACAAAAAAAGTTTTGAAATAGATAAAAATTAAGATGCATTCTGCTACACCTAAAAAGATATTTGCTTTTCTAAGATGTTTGGATGGGAGATATTGAGAATGATAGTCTTTACTCACACGGGTCTTCACTTTCCTGACAATATCTAAACAGACATTCGACCACAGGGACAATTAACATTTGCAGAGTGGAACATTCTCAAAGGCAAAGCTCATCCAAGACATTTGCAAGATGGAGGAACTGACATTTGCACTGAAACTGGAGCAGGACAGATTTGAAAGATCCTGGAGCCCATGGCAAACTTTCCCTTATTACTCCAGATCTGAAAACAATGAAAATGAGGTGACACCTACTGTTCTTTAGCTACTCTGTTCGATGTAGGACTGTTTTTACAGTTCAGGAAAGTTTTTATGACGTGGTACCAGTTTGTTCATTCTTTTTTCTCCCCGTTCCTCTGAGAGGATCTGGGGTGGAAAAAAAAAAAATTATTAATAAAAAAAAAAAATTAAAAAAAATGGAACACTAAATACCGGAGGTAGGATTAACACAGGAAGGGGTATGTAATATGGACCAATATGTTAAACTGATTGGATGCTAGTAAATGTCTGTACCACCTTTTGTAAATGGAGGTGATACACGCCCTCCTTGTTGTCCCATAATAAAAATTTGAATTAAAAAATAAAAAAATAAAAAAGGCAAAGCTCAGGATCGTGAATAATGCAGTTGTGAGAATTTCCTGGCGAGGTTTAGAGGTTTTGATTCTGATTCTTCCCTTCCAGCCTGAGTCTGGTTCTGGGTTAAAATCCACCTGCCAGGACTCGTCCTCATTAATCAGAAACGTCCTGAGAGTTTAGTCTGCTTCATAAAAGCCAGAAAGTCTCTCACAGCCGTTTAATCTTTCTTGATCTTTTATCTGTGATGTTTTAGTGTGTAATTTGTTGTGTTGTGCAGTCACTGTGTTTCATGTAAAAGCCCAACTGGGGACAGGCGTTGAGAATTAGCCTTAGCTAAAATGTTGTAATGTGTGACATGTTTCATGAAACATACTTGTCCCTATCAAATAAATGAATGAATAAATAAATAAATAAATAATGAGGAGCTGGAGACGGACTCTGTCTCATATGGGAACAGACCCACGTCCCCCGTTTGCCAAGAAACGGCCTCCAAAAATAATCTCCACAGATAATTAAATCAACTCTTCTATACTTTCCAAACATCTGGGGCACAAGAAACATAAAACATCTGGAGCTGGGATTGTTCGAAAGGTAAAAAACGACGTTTAAAGACGATTTTCCAAGTCAGAAATGTTCTTTACTGAGTTCAAAATGCTTCATTCTTGCTGGTTATAAGTCAAACAGTTCGAATAATAATCAGGCTTATACAGTGGGGGAAATAAGTATTTGACCCCTTGCTGATTTTGCAGGTTTGCCCACTTACAAAGAATGCTTATTTTTCCTCATCAGGTGGTTATCAATTTTTATAAATTCATACGATGTGATTTTCTGGAATTTTCTTTGGGATTCTGTCTTTCACTGTTAGAATGTACATATGATTAAAGTTATAGATCGTTGCATTCTTTGTAAGTGGGCAAACCTGCAAAATCAGCAAGGGGTCAAATACTTATTTCCCCCACTGTAAATCAACTATTCTATCGTTTTCAAACAAGTGAGGCACAAGAAGCACAAAACATCTGGATCTGGGTTTGTTCGAAAGGTAAAAAACGACGTTTAAAGACGATTTTCGAAGTCAGAAATGTTCTTTACTGATATCAAACCGGTTAATTCTTGCTTGTTATAAGTCAAACAGTTGGAATAATAATAATAAACAGCCCCCACTCAGGCTTATAGCTTTCTATCTTCATTTCTCATCATTTTCGACCCATTTCGTTGAACTCCTCTTTGGTTTTTGAACATGCAACAGGCCCTAAATTGTGTTGGCCCAAACACTAAATCTTAAGTGGACACAACGGACTAAATAACACCGAGGACGGTCCACATAATTGTGGAACGTTTCTGTTTTTTCGAGCGTATTTTAAAGACCAAAACTCTGAGTTCATGATGTAATGAGTCCCATGACTCCATCCATGTTTTATTCCCTCCTCTGGGTGAGTGTAAATCTCTTTTTGTGCAACACATCACAAACAGTTGATCGTAATATACTTCTATCTATAGCCGTTTTTCTGCCTAATAAAAAAACAAAGGCCGTACATTGAGGTTAGGACCACACCTACCCACCGAAGGGATTCCTCTTCCAGATGTTTGTCGGGTTCCACGCGGTTCCTGGTGGACTTCAATCCATCAGAGGAAAAAACACACTGAGAAAAAACACACAAAACACACAGAAACAAACCCGTAAACATCTGGTCTGAGTTTACAGGCCAGATGGACGAAGAGAATAAAAAGGTTTGGTCCAGTTTAGATAGATAGATAGATAGATAGATAGATAGATAGATAGATAGATAGATAGATAGATAGATAGATAGATAGATAGATAGATAGATTTCAATACTAAGATACTCCAATAATACACAGGTTTATGTATTAAATAATTTTTCCTCTGGGATTAGTAAAGTATTTCTTATTCCTGTTTTTATTGCATATATAGATAGATAGATAGATAGATAGATAGATAGATAGATAGATAGATA